AGATGTGAAAAAAAGCATTCTTTTTTAACATAATGACGTCATCAAAAATAAAAAATAAAGGGACACGTCCGAAAGAGAATTGATTTAGCTATAACATACTCACAGGTGGGAGACAATCAATCAAGATAAGCGAGTACGTTCAAACGAGTATAAAAAGTATTAACGTCATAAATAAAAATTCAATTCTTTCTTAATTCAAATGGCAATATGATGACGTCACAATGTCCGATCAGCCAATATGATCTATAAAATCGTATCTACAACTCATGTGCTTTCAGAATATGTAATAAAAATTGGGGGTCACCTTTCATCCTATGGAGCTATAAGTGATTAAAAATATACATGGTTTTATGCATATGGAAATGTTGACGCACACGTACGCGCACCTTAAGTCGCGCGAACGGAAAATTAAGGTACCTGACATTCAACCTTGACCTGAAGCTTATGCTCACCTAATATGATTCAGAAATGACGAATGGTTAAGATTATATGGGGTCATCAACGTTTTGAAAAAAGAGAAATGAGGGGGTCAAAAAAAAAAACAACATTTTTTTTTACCATGATGACGTCATCAAAATGTAAAAAGGGGTCAAATATATGAAAGAGAATTGTCTCAGCTATAACATACTCAAAGTTGGAAGACGATCGACCAAGGGTAAGCGAGATACGCTCAAATGCGTATTTTCAAAAATGACGTCATAGCTATAATTCACTTCCTTGAATTCAGATGCCAATATGATGACGTCACAATGTCTGATCAGCCATTATGATCTATAAAATCATATTTACAACTTATGTGTTTTCAGAATATGAAATAAAAATTGGGGGTCACCTTTCAACCTAAGGAGCTATAACTGATTGAATATAGGTCTGATTTTAGCATAATTTCACTGTATAGCAGCACAAATACGCACAAAGATACCTATGTTTGATGCGCACGTACAGCATTGCTATTGGCCAAAAGATGACCAAAAAGAATGGAAATTTGTGAAAACAATTTCGGGAACCCAAAATATGTAAAAAAAACGTAATTTATAGCTTTCGTAAGTGCTGCGCAAGTAAAAGTGCGCGCGCGTAGTGGAAAATTTCAAAATATTTTGAAATGTTCAAAATAGCCTGAAACGTGCTCTAATTTTATAGTCAAAAAGTGATTTCGAGCATTTTGAAAATTTAACGCACGCCTACGCGCGCGTCATGAAGCGCACGTGTAAAATTATGGTACATTACATTTAACATTAACCCGAAGTTAATGCTCACCTAATACAATTTCGAAATGGCAATTGGTTAGGCTGATATGATCGATTATGTAAAAATGCAAAATTGCGCGTAGCTGACGTCACGCATGACAGGTCACCTTGAAAACCTTACCATAACTATTCCAGGCGAAGGCAAAATGATCGATGTAGCGACCGTGTGCGTAACTCGTGGCAATTTTGAGATAGCGTGCAAACAGAAATGGAAGGAAAGGTAGAATAAAAAAAAAAAGTTGTAAGATCTCTGACAATAACAAGAGGTGATCCGCTCGAGAAGCGGATCACCAATAAAAACAACAGACTTTAATTACGACATGTTCTGATGGTTATACCGTATAAACGTGACGTGAAAACGATGTATTCTATTTCAGAAGTGTCCCTTTTTTTTTCATTTTGATGATGTCGTGGCAAAAAAGAACACATTTTTGGAGCCTTCTCGTCTTTCTTTCTTAAATGATGTAAAAAAAAAATCCAAAGCAGAGGAGGCAGACTGTATTTCGACGCTATCAGACTGATATACAGTATATACAGTAGTTCATATGAACGGAAAATTCGTGTGGCATTACCAACCAACAGGAAGTTTTAAATTACCCTTGACAAGGTTTAATTTTATGTGCCACTAATGTCCTCGATCACGTCGTAAGGTACTCGTACTTGTGCATTAAAATTTGAAAATTGTGAATAACACATTTCCTGGCCTCGAATTTGGGGATTTTATGGGCAAGGCCAAATGGCCTCCGGTATGAGTTTGAAAGGCACCAAAGCCAAATGGAAAGGCACCAAGTCCAAAATTTCAAATATAAAAGGGCACCAAGGCAAAATTTGATTTGGCCTCAGTACTAATCTCTCGTGAGTGCCTTGATTCGTAGCTAGACCTAGCTAAGCCATCGTTGTCAATAGTAAAATGACTTTGTTTAGAGTATTAACTATTAATTAAGAAAATTTGTTTTTGCGGCTCCGAGGTCAAGGCTGCAAAATGGCAGGCAAGTAGTGGCCGTCGTGCTTCATTTTCAGGGATAGCATGTCCAATTGGGAGGGCACCATAGGCAATGGGCGCAGTAGCTGCTTTAAAATTCAAGGCCTGCTTTTCAGGTAATTTATTTAGCATGTTTTAGGTCATTTTCAGTATTCCAAAACTTTCGATAATTTACGCGCCATACGCTTATTTCCACGCGCACAGCACATACAGAAACTGGAAATTACGTTTTTGTTACATATTTTGGGTTTGTGACACTGTATTCATATCATTACCGTGCGCACAGACTTTAAGACGTACACATATTTTCTGACGGGGGGGGGGCACAATATGAAGTTCTCGCCACCACGCCCACCTTAGCCTCACCATGGTTGGTGTAAATAAGTGGGAAATAATCGAGCTATCCTTTCACTCCACTGCTGGATCGCCACTGAACTCATAGGTACACTTTTTCCTCTTTTTAACTCAAATTTTTCTCACTCTTTTTTATTTTTCAGTTTGACTGACGGGGGTGGAGGAACAGGCCCTCATGGCCCCCTTGCTGGATCAGCCACTGGTCCTGGTTTCATGTTCTATGCTTTTAGTAATTTTATCTTTTGTATTATGTAATATTTTGAAACCAAATATAAACCCAACAAACAATTAAAGAAGTGTATGGTGAATCCTAAAATTAACCAACAAAAGAAAACCACAAAAGAAAAAAAAAAACAAAAAAAAAAAAAAACATACTAGTGCAGGGAAATCAAAACTATTGCATTGTATGTTTTCACTATTAGAATTTCTTCTTTTCAAATGGCGTCATTATGTTAATGATGAGATCCATAATTTAGCATCATATGTTGAATGGTTTTCACGAAACCCAAAATGGTCGTTGAGGATATTGTATTTATCTAAGAATGAGTATAATTTGGAATACATAATTTTTTCAAGTATTCTGGAAAAGATTGGTAAAATAGATATATGGGTCAATAATTTGAAAAATCATTACATTTACCTTTTTTCAAAAACAGGTAATACCCTCTCAATTTTCAGAATATCTGGTATGATACTTTTTACAAACGACTGATTAAAAGTAGTAAGTCAGTGGTTTTAAAATGGAAAATGCTGAGCCTCTGACCACTTTCATTAGTAACCCATTACTGTGATAGAACCCATCCTAGAAAAACAACCAAAGAATAGTAAACTATGTTACGGTAAATTATTTCAACATTGTTATGAAACTTTGTTAAAGACGTTTAAGGTATTTGTTGTTGGTAGGCTAAACAATAGTATAGAATAATATTCATTTTAAAATGAAAGAGTACTGTAGTATTTTGATTACAAAATATTTCAGTAGCCGTAACTGTATAACCATGACATTAGAATATATCAAAATGTATTTGTATACAGTACTGATTTCATTTATTATTCAGGTGCTGAAGACATGGAGACATTTGAGCTGGAAGTAAGTGGTTTTCTAAAAGAGATGCACTGCCCTCATACAAGTCTTATTGAAGGTGATCTCCATGTGCGACTAGGTAGTGAAGAAAATAGGCTCAAACTGCTTGATTTCCTGACAACCGAATTGCAGGCAGCAAAGATGATAGCTATAAATTTTGCAAATGTTCAAGATGCTGTAGAAAAACCTGAAGTAAGTCTTTGTACAGTTATTTATTTATTTTTATTAAAGTAATCAATTTCATAAAGACCTGGGTTTTGTTCTACATAATAAATTGTTTTACTGGATATTCAACTCCAACTGCTAGAGGCAGACTTAGAGGCAAAATCTGATTTTGTAAGTACCCATTCTCATAAACATGGGTCTCTAAAATTCTGTCAAAACACCCGTTCCATATTATTACAAGAACTGTTGCACGCATTGTAAACTGAGCATTCTTATATGTGGCAACATTTCCTGAAATCTTGGACCTTCTGTTTAAGACACTTTACCGGATAATGCCAGCTTGGAAAAGGCCACCATGACGTGTACAACATAGAAGCCTGGTTCACGTCAAACTTTATCTAGATATACCCGTCTTGAAACATGATACGATAATCCCCTAATTGTGTTCGATGCCAAGTTAGAGCCAGATAAACAGCCAGCCAGTTTCAGGCTGTTGGCGTCACACGGTGGAAAGACTTGTTTAATAAAACATCTACTGTATTTTAAAAACCTCTAGTACCAAGTGGTATTCGTTCAAAAAAATTGTAAACTACTGTAGAGAAGGTGTGAGTTTCCACTACCTAACCTAGCCGACCAGTACGAACCAACGACAGTGCAGCAGCATGTTCTATCGCAATCTAAGTAGTAGATTCTCTAGGCCCTAGCTAAATTGACCTTCGATAAAAAACGAATTATTTTAATCGCTAGCTAGCATTCTTCCATTAAAAAAAATATTGTTTTAATTTTCATTAAAACGTCTGTATACTTTATGGACCTTTCTGTCCTGTTTTGTAGTTTTTAGATCGCTCAATTGTTGTTTACATGGACTTCGCGAAAATCTAGCTTCGTGGTGTCAAATAAGTTGCTGACTTCCACACACTTTTTTATTTCGTCATCGTAAACATGTGCGTTCATTTTAACGACTGGCATTGGTGGTAGTTTGTTGAAACTGAATTAATAGCGACTATTATAGCAGAAATGGAAAAGATTAAATTGTCAATAAATAAATACAACAAATCTGATTTTATTATCGACTACAGTATTTGTAAAACGGACGTAATAATAATTTCTGAAAACCAGACTAATGAGACTATTTCGATGCTGTTGTTAGCATTGTTGGAGTACGTTGTTGCCAGCCAGAAGATGATAATGGTGGTACAATACAACAACGCTGGCTTAGCTGCCTACGTTACGTAATCGTGTCCTTGTAATCCGAGCTGACTTTACCGTTAAGCAAGTTAATTTACCGTTATTCTAGTAAAGTTAAGTCACTTAACTTAAGTGACTTTATATATATAACGCCGGTGGACCTAACTTTAGACCGACATTACTGCTAAAGAAAGATTCATCAATATTTTACTATTTCTTCAAATTAAAGATCGAAATATTGAAGGTACATAGACATCCAAAGTAAGACAGTGTTACACGCTGGCCTAAATAAAATCTGTATAATCATCTGTATAATGCTAGCGCACAGCTCTACACTGCGGAATGTTTACCTCACATTTTTGCTAGCCATTGGCATTAGGCCTGTGTAGTAGTTCCTCTGAATCGAGAGACGTATACTGTATTTAACATTAATTTAAAACAAATCTGAAATCTGGTTTATTAGGGAGATAACCGATTAAAATGTGCATTCTTCCTTTACTCAAAACAAATCTCAAGAGTGAAGCTTGCATGTTCACTGCATACGTGGATGCTGTATTGGGCGATTTGGGGTAATTCCGTGTCAAATCAACCAGAGGTCCCAGGTTGACCGTCAACATACAAAAAAGATTAGCCCTAATGGATATGCAGTTTCCGAGATATTGACGCCCCAAAAAATTTGCGTGGCCCTTCAAGATGCGCAAACACAATTTCCTCCAACTTTGGAAGCTTATAACTCTGGATTGGTAATAGCTATCAAGGTCAAACTTGGTATTCTAAAGCCTCAATCGCACTGGATTTATTTCAGTAAAAGTAACTGTCTTGTCGGTAAGTTTGACCGAAAAAATCCAGTGCGGATAGTCCCGCTCAGTTAACTTGACTGTCGCCGCCGGTTAGTTTTCGGGAGTGAAATTTACTCAGGAATTCCTACCGAGCTACTTTGACCGGCCTGGAAAATTCAATGCGAACAGCAACAGGTCAGTTAAATTAACTGAATCCCGAGCCTCATTGTTCATTAGGTGACCTTTTTCGCTCTGTGAAGCACTGGCGCATGCGTATAATTAGTTGACCTGCTTCTTATCATTGTTTTGGTTTATTGATGTGTACATTTCGATTTTCGCGCAAATTTTATACTACTGTGCTGTATTGATCGTAGGAATATCGTACTATTCGACTAGTTGATCACAAACCATTATTTTCTAACGTGTTACTTTCCCTTAAATAGTAGTATGGCATGGAATGACATTTTTCTTGATTTTTTAGACCTGAAATATCGGAAGGAGAAATTCTAGGCTCTCATAATGTTGGCCTAGTCAGTCGAAGGAACAGAAACGGATCAGTACGGGTCATGTTACGGGTCAAAATGTACTGCCCTCAATAGTTAATTTTACACTACTCGGGAAAACTAACCGAGTTGAAAAGTCCAAGTGCGGTTGACGGTAACATTTACCCTAGAAATGTTTACCGTGATGACGGTTACATATTCCCAAAATTTAATCCAGTGTGATTGAAGCTTTACTTATATTCCACTATATTACACAAATATGGCATTAGATTAACTGTTATCCCTTCTTTTTTGAAGTTATCTGCACTCAAAATAGTCACTTTGTTTAACGACGCAATTTTTTTGTAATTTTCAATGTCACCCTGTGTCCATATGAGTGAGTGTATACATCTTAAATTACAGATATATTATCTATGGGTAGTTGTCTCTAGCCACAAGCAAGCACAGGCTGATCAAATGAATTAAAATGGAATGGCATCCATTCAAAGTTCCGACCAGCCCTAAAAAAGTTAAAAAAGCATATGTTTCACATTAACGGTTCATCATGTGGACAGTTAAAATTTTTCTTAAATTTACACCAGTTAACCAGATATGTTTGATCTACTTATACACCAAATTTCAACTTTGGTACTTAGCTCCTTCATGGTTAGATACTATGTTGAAAACATAATCGGAAATAACTAAATTTTTGAAGAGTTGGGTAATTCCATGCCATGGGATCATAGATTTTTAAAATTTTTTATACTGACAGTTATTCGTGTGAATTGAAAAACCTGAAATTTTTAGACTCCAATTCCTGTTTTTTTTCCCGTAGCGGCAGTTTGATTTGTGCACTGTGAAATTAACTTTGATTTTCGTATGCTAATATCTTTGGAAGTACAGCGCCTATAACCTTTTGCATTTTTGGAGGGCTGTATCTGGGGAAAATAAGCTTAGTTAAGTTTGTAACTATATATATATATAAGTACTACTAGGTGTGGGTTATGATTAATAAAAGTTTCCAGATTAAAAAAGTTCTTTTTGAGTTACGGCTACCTGAACAATAGTCCAGACAGGTTGTCCATTTTTTTACCATTGCTTTTCTAAATTGGTACATGCTGCAACTTTTCTGATTGCAGATTTGGAATCAGCAGTAAAAGTTTCTACAGTACACCACAAAATCTATAGGCATGTTGTACGAGAAATTTTCACCGCGTGTACAATGAAATTGTTTCCAGGCTTGTTTATTTAAAATTCCAGCCGATTTCGGTATAAAATAACTGGTTTTATGCATGAAATCCACGTAAATTCAATTAATAAAGGTTGTTTTATCAAATTATATGTTTATGCTTTAGTTGCATCCAACATCAAGTCTTCCGTGTGTTTTTTGTTGGAATTCCAACTCGAACGTTAATAAAATCGACCTATAGTTGGTACTCGTGCTTCATAGATTTGCTAATCTTACAATACAGACATTTTATGCCATTCAACTTTAACAAACTTGAAGGCTAACTGTGTGCCAAGAATTACTACGGCTGTTATTTACAGACTATATGAATGCGAATTTGTGTTGTAAATATACTGTGAACCAGGCCTAGGGTAGTCCTAGGTTCACGTTTCTCTTATTCAAGAGAAACATTTCTCTCATGCCAAACTAGGCTAGGCCTACTGTCTGTATTTTCACGTACAAGATGGTATCCCTACCGCATATCAACACAACAGGCCCGGATTCAGTAGTGGAGAGGGAGCGCACATAGAAGGGAGGGGAACGTGCCCACCCTGTATTGCCACTAATTTTTTTTTTAATTTCAGTGCAATATTATGTGCAACTCGCTTATTTATTCTGAAACTGTTCTGCCTCCCCCTCCCTTTGAAAAATTCTTGATCCACCCTTTTGATCAAACTGCACAATAATTCCTCACAAAGGACTATTCAGCAGAGACACTCAAATATTAAATACAAAGATGTCCTTTAGAAAAATAATGACATGTTAACCATAACATCCACATACAACTATTGCCTCCTTAACTCTCCGTAACGTTCAACAGTACTGTACATTGCCACCTTTCTCCACTATTTCAACACCATACAGAGCACGGGTATATGCACAGTATAAAATAATTTCCATCATTGAGGACTCGCATGCACTCCAGTCTGACCCGTGACAAACTTAACAATGGGTTACCAATTGGAAAATGTCACTGAAGCTTGAGAAATGCAAAGTGTACTCTCTTGTACTCTTAAAACTAAACCATAAATTTTAAATGACTTCTAACAAGGTGTTGAAAATGTTGAATGGCATATGGTACTGTATGTTCACACACACGTCGTAAGACTGGCGTAGCTTATGCCGATGTAAGCTAATCCATGTATTAAGGAATAGTTTTCATTTTTAAATAATGTATGGGTTCTTAACTGTAGTAAAATATTTACAGTGCATCATTAAAACTGTTAAATCTGTGAATTGTTGGAAGTGAACTTCTGTATATTAAATGAACAATTTTACTTCTGATTTTTCAGCTAGCATTGTGAAACAACTCTTGGTGTTGCAGGTTTTAATAGACAGTCTAAATAGGTT